TTGTCCTCACTATGCCCTGACTCCTCCCACTGCCCAGTCCAAATATTTCCCAGCTACTGGGTGAAGCAAGCAGAGGAGTAGTGGGAAGAAAATAACAGGCAGTGCACCCCCTAAAAAGTAGATCACCCCACAAATTGTCCCATGTTTTAGAAGCAGAGGAAACAGGCTTGAAGCCACCCTCTTCATGGAAGAGGCCTGCCTGGCACCAGATGCCCTGTGGAAGTTTGCATAAGCAATGTAATAAAAACCACAAAATGCAAATCAGAATCTTTCTTTGATGGCAACATTTCATTATCCTAAAATAGGATACTTTGAATCATTTTAGATAACCTTTTATTTAAACGACAGAGACTGTTATTCCCAAGAAATGTCAAGATTTAGCTTAAAGAGGCCCAGAGTGGGATATGGGGAACTGAATACCAGATTTCTCTTCTTCCCTTTTGTGATATACTAAGAAATGGGCGGTGGACATTTCCTTTAGCTCTTGACTAAAGTGTATTGTTACTTCAAGGCCAGTGTGGTTAGCCATCATTCACATTCAGGGAAATGGATGAGCCTTGGGTCACAGGGACTTCACAGAAGCCAAAGGATATAGGAGAACTTAGAAATTTCTATTTTGAATGTGTGTGTGTGTGTGTGTGTGTGTGTGTGTGTGTGTGTGTGTGTGTGACAGCCACCCACAGAGGGATGAAGAGGGTGTTAGTTCTCCCTGGATCTGGAATTACAGATGTATATAAGTTGCCCACCATGGGTGCTGAGTGTGGTGAGACATTATCATAAAAATATCTCCTACATTCTAAAAGACTGGAACTTCTTCTGGACCTCAGAGTCACTAATACACCTCGTGGGTCACTTAAAACTTAAGATTGCTATCCTACTTTGTAGCCTGCCTTTATGAGAACAGTGCAACAACCTCACTTCCTGGAATTTCCCATGTAATCAGCTTCTACAACCCAGGCTAATACATAGGTATAACCTTAACTGATGTTCTCTTCCATGCCCCGATCCAGAGTAACACATGTGTATGTGTATATTAGAGTAATAAATGTTGGAAACAGCAAATAGATTGAAAGCAACCTTTTAAAACAAATATCCACAGTACATGTGGAAGACAATGTTCAGATACTGATTGATAGCATTTGTTTGTTAATTATCTGGGTCAACTGGGGGTGAGTGACTTAATCCCTTTTAAAACCCTGTTAAAGAGTTCTGTAAAGTATCCCCCATTTCGTCCCTATGTGAAGCTTTCTATGCTGCCCAGTAAACAGAGGGCAAAAGCCCTTTGGTAAGGACACACAGACACAAAGACAGAGTCACAGACAGCCTTCTGGCAGGCACAGATTCCGACTCACATATACAACATCTGAGACATAGGGAGAGAGGTAGAGAATTCAAATACGGGCCTACTCTCAGTTAAATTTTATTTATTTTGTGCGCACCTTTGTCTGTGTGAGGGTGTCAGATCCCCTGGAACTGGAGTTACAGACAGTTGTGAGCTGCCGTGTGGGTGCTGGGAATTGAACCTTAGTCCTCTGCAAGAGCAGCCAGTACTCTTAGCTGCTGAGCCATCTCTCCAGCCCAGCAGGGAAAGGCTTTTACATTTATTTTCCTTTATGCAGCTCTGACACATTTTGGGTCTTCCTATGCTTTCATCGATGCCCTCAACTCAGCTGGGAAACTGTGCTCAGTCTTCTCACAGGGCATCTGGTGCTCTTGACAGCTGAGCGACCCGTCCAGCCTGGTGCTGACGGTTGTTTGCTTTTGTTTATTTGTTTGTTTGTTTGTTTGTTTTAATTTAAGTCTCCAGGGAAAATAATGATATCCTCGAAACTAGACAGAGCTCCAATCCTCTCAGGTTGGGCGAACAAAAGAACAGGAATCTTAATTACCGTTCTTGTCTCTAACAAAACATCTGACGAGAGCAACCTAAAGTCCCGAGGGTTTGATTTTAGTTCACAGTTTGAGTGCAATCCATGTTTGTGGGGGAAGTCATAGCCACAGGAGTGTGAGGTGGCCGGTCACATGGCATCTGCAGCCAGGAAGCAGAGTGTAATGAATGCTGTCAATGTTGTGTGCTCAGATCACTTCCTGTTTCAGTCAACTCAGTCTGGTACCGAGCTCAGGACTTAGTGCTGTCCACTCTTAAGGTAGGTTTTCCTACCTCATTAATCCAATTCAGACAATCCCTTACAGGCATGCCCACAGTCTAACCTAATCTAGATAAACCCGTAGAGGTGTGCCCAGAGGCCTGTCTCCCAGATTATTCTGGAGCCTGTCAAGTTGACGACATTAACCACCACAGACAGTAACCACCTTGTCCTCTTTGTCTTCCAGTGAGAGCATCAAGACTTCACATCAGGAAGACTTCACAGCATGAACCAAGATGGTTACTCTAGCATGGAAACTCTGGGACGCTTGCTGTGTTTGCCCGAATTCATATGTGTTAGTGACCAAGATTCAAATAAGCCCTTAGCCTCGTTGGCAGTGGTGACTGAATAGCAAGGAGACGTGCAAACTTAGCCCTGGTGTGTGCCTTGTCTTCTCCAAACAGTGAAAGCAAACGAAGCAAAAACGTCTGCTTTCCCTGCCATGTGGAACCAGCACGAGCCAGCCTTGGCCAGCTTCAGGCTGAGCAAATCATCTTCACTCTGTGTTCTTTCTTTCTTTCAGGAGATGAGTCATGGCTGGTCACTTGACACTTGTCCTTCTTTCTAGGACCTTCTTCCTGGGTACCTGAGAGGTTGAGGCTCCCTCCTCACGGGCAGAGCCTCCAGCCTGGTTGATAGTGGGAGCCCTGACTGATGGGTAAGGAGTGTGGGGGCACTACACCTGACATTCATTAGACTCCCGTGGTAACAGCCACTCCAAAGGACACAAATCGAAGCTTTCTTTCCTCTGAGACCCAGGGCACAGATGGCAGTGATAAAGGCTGATACTGTTTATAGCCAGACTCTCCACTAGGCTCCAATTTTGGAGGCATTAAAAATTGCTGGTTGGAATTAAGAGAAAAATGCTGTGGTAGATGGCAAGGAGGAGCCTAGGGATTGGATAAGGGACAATCTGGGTCTTGCCTCTGAAGGTCAAAAGCCTTTTCCAACCCTAGGGTCACTTGCAGATGAGGATAGGAAACAGGACAGGTGGCTGCCATGGAGGATCTGAAAGGCAAGAACCAGGACAGCTGAAGGCTATGCTGTTGTCCCAAATCCCCGTGGGTGTTAGGAGGTGGGACCTGAGGACCAGTCTTGTGGGGATGGCATTCCTGGGCCCTTACCACTTTCATGAGCCTTGCGACATTGTGGAGCTGTGCACAGAATTTCAGCTTCGGCAGCTAAACTTAGGTCACCCAGCCAGGAGGTCCGGCTCTGTGATCTCGCTTGCCCTTGACTGCTGCTTCCACGAGGTATCTTTTAGCTCCTGCCTTTCCCTAGATTAAGACAGAGCGCCTGGCACCCAGAACGAGAAGCATTCGGTTCGGGTATTATTTGATTCGCTGACACATGCATTCTGCAACCCCACAGAACATTCTGCGGGGTGTCTGGAGTCACCGGGGAAGCAGCTGCAACTGTTTTCGTCCCCAGTTGCTGGCTCAGGGGTTGCCTTTAGTCATGGAAAGTCCCTTCCCCAGATAGATTCCAGTTTTCCACTGGCTTCTCTTGCTGCTAAAATAAAACCAGGCGAATCTCCCAGGCATCCCGCGTGAACAGGTGCAGCTGGCTCTTCGGCGTTTGTCGGAGGTGCGAAGAGCTCGTATTTTACGAGCACAGTCTCCCTTCTCTGGCTGTTGCATCTCTGTTCCTCTCCAACCGAGAAGCTCTCTTTACTTCTGAGTGTTTTCAGCCAAGAGCCTCCACCCTTCACGCTCTCTGTTACCTGTCCACTGCACTTGGCCCTCAGAGTGAGCCTGGCCTTGGCTTTTTTGTTTTGTTTTGTTTTGCTTTGCTTTGCTTTTTTTCGAGACAGGGTTTCTCTGTGTAGCTTTGCACCTTTCCTGGAACTCACTTGGTAGTCCAGGCTGGCCTCGAACTCACAGAAATCCACCTGGCTCTGCCTCCCGAGTGCTGGGATTAAAGGTGTGCGCCACCACTGCCCGGCTGGCCTTGGCTTTTAAGGAGCAAAAAACTTGGCAGAGAGTTTGCATAGGCATTTTTTTAGATATCAGTGATGAGCCAGAGGCTCCTGACATTTCCAGTGGCCTTCCTCTACCCCAGCATACTAGCATCCTAAAATGAAGCACCCTGACTTCCAACCACAAGATCTAGGCTGTAGAAAGAACTAGCAACACGTGACTTGGAAGCTCTATTTTTAAAGGCAGATTTGGTCTGGGGCTTTTTAGTCCTGCTGCAAAGAACAGAAATGACCAGGACATGTGACATTATAGTACAACAAGACACAACAGAACACAAGAATGAGTGCAATCACCCTCTCTCCTTCCCTCCCATAGGGCCCTTTCTATTGTCCTGTTTTCATTGACTCTCTGCCCCGCAAACAAGATTCCAAAACAGATAGTTTATCTTTGTATTTATTCTCTCAGGTCACAGGTCTGTTTGGATGCTCTTTTCTGTACACACTTTCCTTATTGGGCCATTTAGGATTCAACATTAGAAGGACTACTTTGAAAGAATCAGCAATTAGCCATAAGCAATCAGATTTGAACTTGCTTTCTTTTGTTTGTTTGTTTTGTTTTGTTTTGAGACAGGGTCTCACTGTGCAGCCCTAGCTGGCCTGGAACTCACTTTGTAGATTAGGTTGTCCTTGAACTCACATAAATCCACCTGCCTCTGCCTTTGTTAGGATTAAGGGCATGAGCCACAACGTCTCACTCGTTGGCAACCTTTTTTTTTTTTTTTTTTTTTTAAAGATGTTTGACTAGGACAACTATCTAATTGATAGTTTTCATATGACCCACAGAAGCCAACAAGTTTTGAAGTAATGAAGAGAAACAGAAAAGACATTGCAAACACAAGACCACATAGGAAAGAAAGAAAAACCGCACAAAATAATTCGTGGAAATTATCTTTGCATTTTTAAAATCAAGGAAAGCTCACTGTTCAAACTTCCAAAGCACATGTTCAAACAGTATGCAGATATTTGAGAGAAAGAATAATAACGTTTAAAAAGAGGAATGCCTGGTCCGTTTCCTTCATAAGTGATCAAGAAAGCACGGGTGAGGAGAGACTTCAAGTTCACAAGCAAGTAGGCATGTGTACACACACTTGTACGTCTGTTTTCTGGTGACACCGTACTCCAGGCAACCAGGAAGCCTGGTCAAAATGAGGCTTCTCGCGGGGTTTGTCAGATGATGTGAGAGGAGGAACTAGAGCACTGAGCTGTTTTACATCAGACTAGGGAGATGCAATTCGAGGCAGCTGGATTAACTATGAGCTCCTGGACCCACGTTGAGGAGGAACACATGTCCAGCCAGAGTTACAGCTCCGTAAGTGACCGGTGAGAGGCTCAACTGTGGAGGACCCTGGGGTAATGCCGCCGGGAACGCTGATTTCCCTGCCAAGGCTGTGTACGCACGCACGCACGCACGCACGCACGCACGCACGCACGCACGGATGGAGCTCTCTCACTTCTGCTGTAGAGTTTTCTCCCTTTCTCATTCATCTTGGAGCTGTCAGAAATCTATGGAGAAAGAGGGCCCTTCTGAGAAGGCCGCTTCAGAGTGCCGGGTAAACATCCCGTGGTGAGGTGAAGACACTAGGAAATAGGTGATCCCTAGACTTTGGGGCCAGCAATGGTGACCCGATCAGAGCGTGCATGACAAAGTCCCATCCTGAGCATTTCCAGTAGCGCCAGGAACCTGGGAGACTGTTTAGTATTCCTCCTGAATAGCTTGAGTTACCAGAACGTCTGTCCCAATTGGATGGAGACTCAGTCCCACTTCTGCACCATATTCTGAGGAATCACATCCTCTGAGGACCCAGGGAAGTGAGATGGTGTTTTGGGCTTCTAGAGCAGCAGGTATCTATCTTACAGGGTTGGCAGTGACCACAGCAAAGGTTCTAGGTGGGAGGTACAACTAGCTGGTTTCTTGCCGATCTCAGTGAGGAGGGGAGGGGCCGAGGCAGCAAGCAGGCCTGAGGCAGCTTGCATCTAGATTGAGCTCGAAGTTGCAGACAGAGGTTCTGGAGCCTCCTGGCTTTGCCTCTGCGCACAGCAGGGCTTCCCTTCTCCCACTCTTCCCCAGGTGAGCTCACCCCAAGCTCTCGCCTTTCCGTGTGAATGCAGACACCGTGGACTCCCGTTGGGACGAGCGGAGTGTCCGGCAGTGGGCATGCTGCTTCAGTCACCCTATTTTCCAGGAAACAGCACCAAGGTGGATCGGGCTTTCTCCTGCAATGCTGCAGGCTCAGAAGACAGGGATCTGGTCTCTGCGGACCACATCCAGGTCATCATCCAGAGTCAGCAACACCTGTAGTGAGAGGATTGGAGATGGGAAGGGAATGTAAATCCTGGTCACACGGAGCCCCTGCTTTCTCTTCGTGACTTCACAGACCGAAAGCGACATCTCCCCTCCCATATTTTTGGCAGTGGTCCGCAATGCCTTGCTTTTTAACTGGGACTTATTATTACCAAATTATAGCTCCTGTGTCAACTTATTGAAATACCCATGGAGAGGGTTCTCATGTGCTATTCACGATACTAGAGACTCAGCTAGGGATGGAAGCGATACCCACCCTCTGCCCTGGAGCTCACATTTGGGAAAGGATCTTAAATAGGAAGAAAGCGCATGAGGTAGAAGACAATATATTTCACAGGCAGATGTGTGAGGGTTAAAATTAAACTAGGGCGTAAGTATCGGGAGCTTGGGGTGCAGAATGGTAAAATATTTGAGTAAGGTGGCCTGGGTAGTCATTCCTTAGAAGACATGTAAATCAAGACGAAGCATTGTTGTTTAGTGCATTGCTATGTAAGAAGTGGACCATTCCTGTTTTGCTCCAATTCCCTCCCCACATGAGACCACTCTTCTTATCTCATGTCTTCTCTCTTATCAGTAAAGTCCAAGGGTCACAGATTGGTAGAACTTTCCACTTCGGCCACTAGAGGGCAGCCCTGCTCCACTCTTGTGATTGCATGCCTGGCCTCATAAGGCTGGAGGCCATCTGCAGTGACCGCCCACAGTTATCACCCCAACCTGTGTCCAGGCACCACAGACATTTAATTAGGGAATTTAAAAAAGGACTAAAGAATGCCGAGGATGGTCATCTTATGTCAGCATAACTATTAATGGATTCTGGGAAGGGGCACAAACAAATCATAAGGAACCCTAGATTAGGAACACGCTGGCTAGGTGGCCCTTTGAGTTTCTCTAGGAACCTAGTCTTTACAAAATACACAGTGAGGCTCGAGGAAGGGAAGGAAGAGAGCCTGTCATGAGAAGGAATAATTCCATGGACGAGAATTTTAGTGAATGCCTTAAGTAACCACCGGGGGAATTCTGAGCATTTGGGTCCAAGAACCAGTTCTGTCCCAGGTCACCATGCAACTTAGGGAAAATGGTTTTGTCGCTCTTCTGTGTGTGCAAACATGGGAAAGTAGAGAAAAATGAAAGTTATGACCTCACAGAAGTTACAGTAAAAGAAAGAAAGAAAACACAGGGAGATGGTCAGTGCGTTGAATTGCACGGAGCAAATGCAGAGAGTAACTGGAGGGGAATGTCGAGAGGTTGAGGATGAGCAGCAGGAAATACGCACGATTGCAAAGGGAAGAACGGAGCCGGAAGATGCCACTGACTCACCAGGAATGAGAAAAACAGGGCAGTAGCAGAGAGGAAGTGCCAGATGTCGTGGTCATCGAAGAAGTCCAGCAGGACACACTCCCGGTTCTTCTCCCGGGATTCAGCTGGGGTTCCCTGGAGGAAAGAGGTGGGTATAGGCAAAAGTCCCGTGGTTCAACGATTTCAGGGTTTGACTTTGAGGAAGCGCTTCGAAAGTCGGCTTCTGAGGATCGGGTACAGTTGTTCACAGCAACTCTACTTAGAATAGTCCCAGGATGGAGACAGCCCAGGTGTCCACCAGCTAATGAATGGACTGATAACATGCACTGTGCCCCACAGTGGAAAAACTGATCAGTAATTAGAAGACATGCTCATGCAGGGCCACAGCGTGGGTGACCTAGAAACCATCACACTGCACACTGCGTGGATAAAGCCAGACTCAGAGGCCACATGATGTGTGTGTGTGGCTCTATCTCTAAGATAGCAGTTCTCAACCTGTAGGTCGAGACCCTGACAGGGGATGCATATCAAATATCCTGCATATCAGATATTTATATTATGACTCATAGCAGTAGCAAAATTACAGTTTATGAAGTGGCAGCAAAATAATTTTATGGTTGTGGATCACCACAACGTGAGGAACTGTATTAAAGGGTGGAAGCAACAGGAAGGTGGAGGACCACTGCTCTAGGAAATGCCCAGACTGGCAATTCCACGGCCACAGAAGGTAGATTAGTGGCTGCCAAGAATTACCAGGTCAACGAGAAACAGAATGGCTGCTCATGAGTTTGCTTTCTGGGGTCAAACAAATGTTCTAAGATCAAATGTGCTGATGCTGTGGTAGAGAGATGAGACTTCCTGCTTGTGCTTCAGACACAGTGCTGGTTTCTGAGGTCTCAGCTTTCCTGTCTGCAGGATGGACGTAGTGTCCACTCCTGCCTTTACTGATGGATGACGGCTGTGACGAGAAAGATGGAGACACTATACTAATTGAGTGTTAAACATCCCTGGGCACAAACCGTAAGGGAACGAGAGAAGGTCATGTTTGCACTATCTACGGGGTTTGCAAGTTCATGTGGTATTACCCTGGCAGTGCTGACCACATGTCACTTGCCTGTCATTTAAGGGTGGCTGCTAAGCCTTCTCTCTTCTGGAGGAAGCTGTGGATTTAAATAATGGGGGAAAGATAAGAAGTGGCAAGAGCAGGAGTGGGAGGAAGGTCCAAAAGGCACAATGGACCGAGAACTGCTCAGATGAAAGGACGGGCCTCTTACCTCCCAGCTGCTGAGGTTCTGAAAGAAAAAGTACAGGGCCGCAGCCCACACCACCGCCGTGGCCACGATGCAGAACAGTGGTAGCAGAAGGACCTTCTCGGAGCTGCGGAGCTGTGGAGAGATGCAAAGCCACAGAGGCTGGCGTCCCAGCTGCAGGCAGGCTCCCCCCCCCCCCCACGGCGCTGCCAGCTCCTCACGTGTGCTCACCTTCATGATGATGTAGAAAGCCAGGTACAGCAGCAGGTTGCAGATGAAGATGCCCAGCATGTAGGATGCAAAGTCCCTGGGCCGGTAGATCAATCCAAAGAAGGCACTGTGGATATGGGACAGGGTGTTGGCAGCCGAAACCGGGTATAACACGAGTGGATCATTACCCACTGTGGGAGTTCACTAGTTAAAAACCCACTCTAAGGCACAGTCATGCATTGTGTGATGGCGGGGATACATTCTGAGAAATGCACAGTCGGTGAGTTTGGCATTGTGTGAGCATCATAGCATGTCCTTATGCAAGCCAAGATGGCCACCATGTCACTAGGCTATACCATCTTTCGGAAGCACCGTGTACACGTGGTCCTCTGCTAACTGAAATGTCTTTGGATGGTGAGTGACAATTACACAACTTAATGAGTGATATAAATAATCTTTCACTTATTACATCTTTGCCAGAACATTCATTTCTAGTGACTTCACAATGGGCTTATGAGTGAATGCACCGTCAACAGTTATCTTTCCTCTCTGGGTGGAATGGTTTTCCCAGAATCCTTCAGTTTTTCATGATTATAAACAGCATTGTGGTGAAGGAGTAAATGCTTCAGACACACTGTATTTGTTTTCATTTATTATTAGTTCATCAGAATAGATTACTGGAGGTAGGATTGCCTCAGTAATTGGTGTACTTGAGTTTTTCTCTCCAGGTCCCGCCAAGCCCCAGCAGTCCCATAGCCCACTTATAAAATAAACATATAGACGCTTATATTATTTAAACTGCTTGGCCATTAGCTCAGGCCTATCATTGTCTAGCTCTTGCTCTTATACTCAGCCCATTTCTGTTAATCTATATATCGCCTGCCACGTGTTCTGTGGCTTTACCTGCAGCTTTTACATGATGCTCCCTGGACGGCAGGCTGGCGTCTCCTCCAGACTTCTACCTCCCAGCCCCTCTTCTCTGTTTGTCCCACCTATCCTATACTTCCTGCCTGGCTACTGGCCAATCAGCGTTTTATTTATTCACAACATACAGGACATCCCACAGCAAATTGGCTTGACAAGCATTACCAAGTTAATGCCAGTGGCCCATATTTAATTTGACACTGAAATTTACTTTGACTGAGGGTTAACTTCAAGTTTGTTTAAAATTTCTATTCAGTATAACAAAATATTGGTAACATTTCCCCCCCTGAGACAGGCCTTTGCTTTTGCTGGCCTTTGCCTCCCAAGTGCTGGGATTAAAGGCTTGTGCTACATGCAGCTGTAACTCTTCTTCATCTCCTTATTTGAATTTAAAATAAATAAATAAATAAATAAATAAATAAATAAATAAATAAATAAACTTTAAAAACCTACAGTGTGATGGGTGGCGCAGATCTGTAATCTCAGCACTTTGGAGGCTGAGGCAGGAGGATTGCCATGAGCTTGAGGCTATCCTGGGATACAATGTGAGGACTAAACAAGGCAGGACTAGATAGCAAGACCCTGTCTCAAACACACATACACACACACACACACACACACACACACACACACACACACACACAGAGTATAACACACACAACAACAACTATGTTATGACTCCAGGAAACAAAAAGTAAAAATTGACAAGTGGGATTTTATCAAACTGAAAAGCTTCTGCACAGCAAACAGGTCCCAGAGGGAAGAGACAAGCGTTTGAAAACAAGAAAATAGCTATCAACAATCCTGGATTGATTCATTTTGGGTTAATATCTGTCCTAGCTAGTTTTGTTTTATTCTGTTGTCAACTTGACATAAGATAGGGTCATCTAGGAAAAGGAACCTCAATTGAGAAAATGCCCCCATCAGGCTGGACATTTTCTTGATCAGGCATTAGTGGGGGAGGGCCCAGTCCACTGCAGGTGGCGTCAGCCCCAGGCTGACGGTCCTGGGTGTGGAAGAAAGCAGAATGAGTATGCCAGTAAGCAGTGCTCCTCCGGGGAGCTGCCTCAGTGCCTGCCTCAGTGCCTGTTGTGACTTCCCTTCATAATGGACGACAACTGTCAGCCGAAATAAACCCTCTCCTGACTCTTGTCATGGTATTGAGCACATCAACAGAAAAGCAAACTAAACAACACCCAAAATACAAAGAATTCAAAAAACTAATAACACAAAAAGCAACTAATACAACTTTAAAATGGGCAGATAAACCAATAACACAAAAAGCAACTAATACAACTTTCAAAAGGGCAGATGAGGGACAGGGGGTGGCAGGGGGGCAGTGGCGGGGGGGGGGAATGGCCCAGAGGGTGAAGTGCTCTTGCAATGAGCATGGGGACCTGAGTTCTGATCACAGGCATGGCAGAACACTCCGTTCTGGGGAATGGAGACAGTTGGATCCTGGCACCTCATTAGTCAGGCTGTCTAGTCGAAATCCTGAAAAATGTGTGGAGAGCAACAGAGAAAGACACCCAACACCTCTGATCTCTATAAGGGGCTCCCTAGTGTATGCACCTACACACACACACACACACACACACACACACACACACACACACACACACATACACAGCAGCAGCAGCAGCAGCAGCAGCAGTAGCAGACAATCTGACTAGATTCTTTTCAAAAGAATGTATACACATGGCATATATATATTACAGAGCCATCAGGATCATTAGCTACCAGGGAAATGGAAATCAAACCTGAATGAAGAATAGTGATGACTAGAAGTTGGGAAGTGGAGGGTGGATGAAAGGAAGGTGGAGTTGATTGGTGTATGCTGAATACATGTTTTGAAATATCACACTAAACTACGTGTGTGTGTGTGTGTGTGTGTGTGTGTGTGTATAAAATCATCACATGTTAATAAAAACTTAAATGTGGTAAAATCTGTATTGGCATGGTGTTTTGTCAGGATTTTTCTTGTCTCCATTCTGTTTGCTTTCACTGTACTGGGGGATTAAACCATTTGTATTTTATTCTGAAAAAGGGTCTTGATTAGATGCTCAGGCTGCCTTGAACTCGGGATCCTCCTGCCTTCTATCCCAAGTAGCTGAGTTATAATGCTTACCAACACATCTGCTTCTGTCCTCTTCATTCTGACTCACTGGCTTATATTTCTAATTTTGGATCAGTGCTTGCTTCACTCTGTTTTTTTTTTTTTTTAATATTAGATTTCCTTATTAGGCTAGCCATGCCAACTCATGTGGCAGTCACACATGGCTATCTAAATTTAAATTAATTAAAACTAAATAAAAATTGAAATTCAGTTCCTCAGACACACAGGCTGCATTTCAGCATCACAATATCCACATGTTAATAGTTCCTGTTAGGACTGTGCAGTACTGAGCATTTATATAATTCCAGAAAGTTCTATTGGATAATGTTGGAATAGTTACTGAATTCTCGGCCCCTCCTTCCTCATGTTAACCTTGCTTTTCAGAGACTGTTGATGCTCTTGCCTAAGTGCATACATTCTGTAATAACAGTCCATTATCTCAATTCTAGCTCTGATTTTAAATTCATACATTAGCTGGAGAACAGTAATCTGTCTTTCAACCGAGACCCGACATCTCTCTCCCCTCAGTTACATTTTCTTCCATGTGTCCTAATAAGGCGATTAAATTTTCAGAAGAAAGATTCCGCACATCTCTCGAATTTTATTCCTAAGTATTTCAAGTGCAAAGCTGTTATTAATGGCCTTGAATTTTCAAGTCCAGCTGACTGTGCTGTAGATTGTGCATGAAATGCCATCCTTCAGGACTCTGAAATCCTCAGTTCACTAAAAACTCCTGGGTGGCCTGTCCTGAGATTCATCAGTTAGTTATTGATATGTGTGCTGCTCTGCTTGCTGCCTGGGCTCTCTGGGTTCCCTCCCCGCCCCCGACACCCCTAAGGTTTTCTTCTTCAGAGCCATATAGGAATTATTCCTTTACGATGAAGACATAAATAAATAATGATTAGTAAATAGATGCTGATATTTATAAATATGGGATCTGTAAGTACTGCATTGGCCATAGATTGCATCCACCTGAACACAATATGGGATCTGTAAATACTGGATTGGCCATAGATTGCATCCACTTGAACATGTTTGCATGTATGTTCTGACCAAGAGAAACAACATTCTAATAAGTAGATGAGAATGGGCTGGGGCTGGCGTGTAGCTCTGTGGAAGAACACTTGATTAGCGTGCAGGAGACCCTGAGTTTTATCCACAGTACCAAATAAACAGAAGAATAGAGGTGAGCCAGACACGGTAGCACACATCTATAATCCCAGCAGTCAGGTGGGGGCAAGAGGCTAGCCTGGGCTACAGAAGACCCTGTCTGAGAGTTACTCTTTTAAAATAACAGTCATAGCCAATCACTCTATATCTATATGGAACAACAGAAAAAGAGACAGCCCCTCTGCCAGGAAAACAGGGAATTATGGGACATCAAACCTTACTGGACTTGACATCCTACAGAGCTGTGTGAGCAAAGAGAGGCTATTCATCTTGTCTTGTGAGTGGATTGTGTCCTTATGTGTATCAGGAATGGGGAGTCAAAAGTCCCAGAGCCAGAGAAACATATTAGCTGAGAGCCATAACTAAAAACAGCCGAAGGTACTGTTTTTTTGAGAGATCACTGAGGCATCTCCTGTGTTACAAGTGTGACTAGGTCGCAGAAGATAATTTCAACTGGCAGAGACTGTGTGTCTGTTGCAGCTGTTTTATGTTCACCTGGGGAAACACGGACTAGAGGATGAAGAGGGACAAGTTGCAGGAGAATGATATGGAACAGGAGGACAGAGAGAAAGAAATAGCAAAGGCACACACACACACACACACACACACACACACACACACACACACCACACCACAAACTGAGGAAGAAATATTTTATAAAAACGAATGTCTCCTCGATAGGCATCATGCAAAGTTCTACAAGATAATTTTAAATTATGTTGCATTTTGCACTCATAGGAAAAAGCCTTCCTTTCCTTCCCTTTTTCTTTCCTTCCTTTCTTTCTCACAGTCATCGATCCATCAGTCCATCCACCCATCCATCCAGTTTGTCCACATAGATACTTGTCTTGTTGGGCGAATTCTAGCAAAGCATCAATGTTTTTATTTTTTATTTATTTATTTATTTTTTTAAAGAAGCCTCCACCAGTATACAAGAGCTTCCTAGTGCATTTATTTAATTAAAAATAGGTTTATTTATTTGTATATATGAGCATGTTACGGTGTGTGTGTGTGTGTGTGTGTGTGTGTGTGTGTACAATTAATGGAGTTGGTTCTCGACTTCCACAACATGGGTTCTGGGGATTGAACTCAGGTCTCAGGCTTGACAGCATGTGCCTTTACCAACTGATCCGTCTCTCCAGACTCCTAGTGATTTTGTTGTTTTGGTTTTCTGTTTCTTTTGTTTGTTTTTTTGCAGGTGTTAAGGAACACCTAACACTTTCTATCAAATCTCTGGGACAAGCAGTTTTACAGTCTCCTTAATTTCAGATTTCCTTGTAAAAATGACAGTCAAAGAACTCTAAACCGAATGTTACAGACATTAGTAATGATAAGGACATTATTGCCCGTAATTCCACTTACAAGGACCAGTTAACCAGATTTCCCACAATAAGCAACACCATCCTGTCCTGGAAGAGAGAAGAGTGAGTGTTAGAACAGAGGCCGTGATGCTAGCAACTCACTGGGGCGAAAGCATCACCTGTGGAAAAACAATAACCTTTGGACAGACATATTCTGGGGTTTACCCTAATCCTCAGCCAGGCTGAACAGCGAGACCTGACTACAAAGGGTTGTAGCAGAGCTCCGTGTAGGAAAGTGTGGTCAGCAGAGCAGGATGTGGCTGCCCCTGCAGGGGTCAGTGGAGCTGAGCAACTGGCTCTACCTCTCAGCAGGAGGCTGGTGACATGTACTCATGACTCAGTCGTGAGGATTCGACTGTTTATGCGTCCATGCCCTGGACTGCACAGTCAGAACTAAATGTAGGAGTTAATTTTCACTCCTAAGCCCCAATCTTAACCCTGAAGTTAAGGAATGGGGGCTGGGAGATACAGGGAACTGTCCACATGATTAAGGTTACTCTGAGTGAAATTCTTTCTCCATCTCTTTCTGCCTCTTTGCTACTACTTAAAACTCCTAGGTGGGTTTAATTATACTTGCATGTACATGGCCACTTGTCTCCCATTTTCCCAATTCTCTGCTTCCTTACCTGTGCCATCCAATATAAAAGAAATGCCTTTTTTTTAAGTTCTTTAATCTTTAATACTTGGGAGGCAGAGGCAAGTGAATCTCTTGAGTTCGAGTCCAGCCTTGTCCACATAGCAAGTGCCAGGCCAGCTTGGGCTACATAGGGAGACCCTGTCTGAAAACGAAACAAAAGTTTATTTACTTGCTGGAATAGTGAAAATCTAAAGCACTGGTTGGCAATGCTGGTGAGGATGTGGAGTCACCAGAACAGTCTGTTCCTAGAACAAATGTGTAGGAGTACAGGCGGGCTCTGCCACTTTGGGGGCAGTTGGGTGTTTTGTTTTGTTTTTCACACACAACTGAATACCTGCTTACCATGTCATCCACCAATTTCTCCCCATGGTAGGCACCCAAATGGGTTGAACACATGGGTTCAAACAACCCCACCCCCATGAATGCTCTCTCACTGTTAGTGGTAAGGACCCAAACCTGGAGGCAACAAGCCAGCCTTCAGTAGGTTCACAGATAACTATGTGGTAGTACTCTGAGACCAAGGAGGAGTCTTCAGAACTAAAGAGAAAAGAGCTGTCCCCCTTCATGGAAACAACAAGGAGAAAATGTAGATGCATGTAACTAAGTGAAAGAGGTAAGCCTAAGAGAAGGTGTCACATGACTCGAGTCCAGTCACGTGACACATCGAGACAGGCAAAACAAGAAGGCAACCTTCTAGAAGCGGATCAGAGGTTGGCAGTGGCCCCAGGAAGGACAGGCGAACAGGCAGAGAGAGCACCAAGGAGTGTTAGGCAAGCCAGACTGTTCCGAGTGATGCCATGTATTCGCGGAAACCTGTCATTATATGTTTGTCGAAACCCACACCAGGGACAAGGCAGGAGACAGCGGTGTGTGCCCCGCAGACTGGGGGTGGTGCTGATGCCACCTCATGTGACGGCCTGCGGGAATGCTCACAGCGTGGAGACAGCTACGCATGTGTAGGAGCCCTGAGCGTGTAGAGAATCTGGAGCCTCCTGCTGAGTTTTGCTGTGTAGCTAAAATTGTTCTGCCCTTCAGACATCAATTGCCCCACCTGGCTCTTAGCCCAGGCACACACGACTCCCAAAATGCTCGTAGGTTCTGATGGGCTTTATAGGTCTCACCTAGAGAAAATCCCTGCTTCAAGTCTCTCCGTTTTTCCTGCCCAAGCTTATCAGGCTAGGGGCTCTCCATATTTCTTGATGTAGCAATCCTCCTGGCTATTAGATTATTAACTGGGCTCTTACTGAATTCTTGTGTTCTGGGGCAGAAGGCAGCATCAGATCTGAGCACAGAACCATGCAAAGGCCAAGGCTCAGAGGATCCTTCTTCCCATTGGTTACTTCCCAAGGTCAATGGCCAGGAAACTAAGGCAGGGCTTCAGCCCCAGTCTCTTAGGCTTAGTATAGAAATGGATAATATGGCTGGGCAGTGATGGCACAGGCCTTTAATCCCAGTACTCGGGAGGCAGAGGCAGGCCGATCTCTGTGAGTTCAAGGCCAGCCTGATCTACAGAGTGAGTTCCAGGACAGACTCCAAAGTTACATAGAGAAACCCTGTCTCAAAAAAACAAAACAAACCCAAAACAAACAAACAAAAAGAAATTGATAATATGAGAGTTATAGGGGAGAATTTTAAAGGAATATTCCAACCATGAAGAAATAAGCACAGTTTAACCATGTTCCTGCTGTAAAAACATACGGAGGTGAAAATGAAAAGTGAAAAATGAAATGAAAAGCAAAGTGAAAGTCCCTAGTTGTGCGGGCCAGTTTTTTTTTTTCAACCTGACACAAGCTTGGGTCATCTGAGAAGAGGGAACCTCAACTGAAAAAATAACTCCATAAATGCAAATATATGGGGCATTTCCTTGAGATTAATGATTGATGTGGAAGGGCCCAGCCCACTGTGGGCGGTATCATCCCTGGGCAGGTGGCTCCAGCTTGTATAAGAAAGCAGGCTGACTCTGGCAGCAGTAGCACACGTCTCGGGAGGCAGAGCCAGGCTGATCTCTGTGAGTTCGAGGCCAGCCTGGTCTACAGAGCAAGTTCCAGGACAGCCACCAAAATTACACTGAGAAAACCTGTCTCAGAAAACAAAAACAAACAACCGCCTCCGCCCCCCAAAAAAAAGCAGACTGAGCAAGTCATAAGGAGCAAGCCACTAAGCAGCACCCCTCCATAGTCTCTGTTCCAGTTCTTCCCTTGAGGTCCCGCCTTGAGTTCATTCAGTGACAGACTGTGATCAGGAGTGTAAGCCAAATTAACCCTTTCCTCCACAAGTTGCTTTTGGTCTAAGAGTTCTACCACAGCGACAATGAGCAACTGACACACTCATGGAGGTGACCAGAAGGAAACTTCTGTTCAGAGCTGTGCCTGGTCATACCTGCTGTCCTGGTCAAAGTATTAATAGTGTGAAACTTCATTTTCACGAGGGAGGGCACCTCTTTGGATTATTTATAAAGGCATTCTGCCTTGATTCTCCCTGCAGTAATAATCACTATTTAAAAGTTTGGTGTATTCCGGTTGACATGCCAATCAGGACAGGATAAATTCCACCTGGTCCCAACCCTAGATGAAGAGCTACAGGTGGTCAATGGCTGCTGGGAGAACAAGAATCAGTTTCCTCCAGGGAGGAGCTCCCTTACAGGTTTTCCAATCCCAAAGGATCAGCCCTGGACACATGTACACCAACTAGGTTCAGTAAGTTGCATATACATGTGTGTGTATGTATAGATCTATACATATATTTGTAACAATCATAATAGAAGAGGAAGAATCAGTAGTCATGGAGATAGAGTGCTCATATGTGAAGTTCTCAAAAAGGAAAATAAAACTAAAACATATACAACATTTTAAAAGTTTGTGGTTTTTTGGGCAGTGGTGGCACACGCCTTTAATCCCAGCACTTGGGAGGTAGAGGCAGGTGGATCTCTGTGAGTTCAAGGCCAGCCTGGCCTACAGAGTGAGTTCCAGGACAGGTTCCAAAGCTACACAGAGAAACCCTGTGTTGAAAAACAAAACAAAACAAAAGTTTGTGTGTGTGTGTGTGTGTGTGTGTGTGTGTGTGTGTGTGTGATTATATATTTCCTTTATCTTCATTATAGATTAGCAAATATTTTATCCATAAAAACAGGACCATTGTAGCTTGCCTTTTTAAAAGAACAAACAACACGATTCTTTCCCCACTGGCTGGACTGCAGCCATCTCAGGCCATCTGGCTCTTTGGATTTCTGGAGGTTTGAGTCCCTGCCCCCCAACCTGGTTCTCCCACTGCTCCTCCACGTTCTGGGGGATGGCCAAGGGACACAGGAGCACGCACGTACCATATACAGAGGTCGGCTGCACTGCTGGATACAATCTGTGTAGAACACCATAGCAGCCCTCCGGAAGATTCCCAGATCTGTGTTGACACAATCACATGATGAAAACTCACAGAGAAATGCTTTGCACCTGATAGGCGAGCAATATGATCTAGAACAGCGTTTTTCAACCCGTGGGTCACGACCACTTTGGGGTCCAACAGCCCTTTCAAAGGGGTTGCCTAAGACCATCGGAAACCACGGATATTTATATTAAGATTTGTGACGGAAGTAAAATTACGGTTATGAAGTAGCAATGAAAATAATTTTATGGTTGGGGATCACCACAACCTGAGGAACTGTATTCAAGGGTCACAGCATTAGGAAGGTTGAGAACCACTGCTCTAGAAAACTATGATGTCTTGGAGGGAATGCCATGCGCATGGATCATATAGCAGAAAGGCTGCCAAGGGACATGAATGGCAGGCAGCTGCCACCTTTCGGCTTCCTTCCACTAAGCGTCCATTGTATAAAGGTCACTCTGGTGAGGTTTCCTATCAGCGGAGATGTAATGGGACCCTCCAATCTACCCTAAAAGATTTGCTCTCCATAGTGGGGATTGGGGATCATAACTTGTAAGGGTTCCGATCTACACTTCTCAGTGCGGTTCTGAGTTCCTCAGTTCTGAACCAAGAGATCCTGGGCTGTACTAGACAAAGGGTTTTAAAAACGTAGTCTTGCAATGAGGCACATTTGGAATGGAATGGCATCAGTGTGAGAGGTCTAGCTGCTACGTTCAGAGTCAAGGTCAAAGGAAGTCTCTCTCCCTGTGAGCTACTCATGTCTTGACACCAAAAGCATGACTGAGTGTGTACCCGGAGTCAGCACTGCTGAGCGTGGACCCCCCACTCTGATGGGTCTCTCCTCCCCTTCAAGGCTAGGCTGGGGGTGAACTTAACCAAGAGGAAGGAGCCTGACCCTGTGATAGCCCAGAAGGGATGCACCCCAGCGAGGGTTGCAATGCGGACTGGCTTCTGAGCCTTTCTCTGGATGCTCCTCCCAGGCACTGCCTGACCCGGAAGGGGAAGGCAGGGGGCAGAGCTGGAGGACAGCCCAGGCGAGTCCAGAACCGGTTTAGATCCCTACAAAGGGAGGCAGGGCATTCATTACCTGTGTCAGACACATCTGAATCAGTGGGAAGCAGAGAAGAAATAAGAGAGAGAAATGATCTGTAAGAAGGAAGCCAGACACGTAAACCACCTCTCACTTGACTTTCTTTTTCTTAACACGATGGCTTTAATTGGTTTTTGTAAAAGTGATGTCTGCTCCCCCCCCCCCCCCATGCAGGACATGGGACTCTGTCTCAGACACACAGAAAGCCCCTCCCCAAGAATAAACAGAGGAGGTCTTTCTCTCCTCTCCTACGTCCATTCAGCACTTGCTGTCGGGAACCCATTTTCTCTTATGAACAACCCACGAGGTCTAACTCCTAGGGTCTGGGACAAAGGACACAGGGGGCGATCTGGGCAATGGCTCTGTGGTTTCTGTCCACCTACAACATGCTCTGTGTTGCTGTCTTTCCTGTGTGCTCTCCTGAGAACTGCAGGGAAAGGAATCTGTAGTTAGAAAGCAAAGGCGTCGAGGAAACGTGGGGAGAGGTTAGAGACGGCCGAACCACCGTCTGCGGCGGACCACCGTCTGCGGCGGACCACCGTCTGTCTGCGGCGGACCACCGTCTGTCTGCGGCGG